CCCCCGTGACCCCTTTGCCTCCTCTTTTTACTCCTACTCAGTCCTTCTGGCCAATCATCCAGTTTCTGTTTCTTTCTGATTTTGTTCTCCTTTTGGCAAACTGGATATTGATGACTCCATCTCTCCTGGTGGCGGCCGGCCGGGGCCTCCCTGTGAATTTTGGAGGGGGTGTCCCTTTAGCCCTGTTCTCCTACCCCAATGGCGCTGGGAGACCTGAGCCTCCAGCTTCCTGGAGATGCCGCGGGTGCAGCTGGCCCCGGAGGCCGGGACTGGAGCTCTCCTCCCTGCCTGACGCTGGGCACTGCCAGAGCTGCTGGCCCCCCTGTCTCTGTGTCCCCATGGTGCTGCAGCCGATGGCGGGCCAGCGGCGAGGTGGCAGGCACACAAGGCCTGTGGCTGGAGGGGACAGTTTCTGCGTGGGCCAGCGTCTCTTCAGAGCAGAGCAGGCACAGGGCCCCGCCAGGGGATGGCCGGTGGGCGCCTCCGCCATGCGCTGCGCCCTGAGTGGGGGCGGGGAGGGAGGACCTGGCATCTTCGGGCCTCGGTCATGCTCTGAAGCAGGATGCAGTGACACGCAGGAAGACCACGTGGCCAGCCGGGGGAACAGAAGCCACCTCTGGCCCGGTGGACATGTCCGGGCAGCCTCCTCTGCCTGAAATGCCCGGCCTTGGAGCGCGTGCGGGCTTCTCTCTCAGCCCGCCCCCCCGGGCCGAGCGCCCGGCCGTCTCCTGCAGCGTGGCTGCTCCTCCTCAGGCCTCAGGCGTGTGTGGCCCTTACATTCTCCAAGTGGCCGTCGTCAGGGACCGGGGCCACACCGTGAGTGGGACAGGAAGTGAGGGGCAGAGCTGGCTGCAGACTCAGCTCTTCTGATCCTGACTCCATGTGCTCATCCCTGTCCCTCAGCTGCCTGGACCCAGGCAGTGCCCCTGAGGGGTTGCACAGTGACCAGTCACTGCCCATTAGGGCCCCCTGGGAGACCTTGGCCACCGGAGAGAAACCGGACAGGCTATGCTATCCCCAGCGGTCCACGGCGCTTCTGCTTTGCGGACGTCCCCATGAGGACCCCGAAGCCCACGGGGTGGGGGCTCCTGTGCCTGCATCACTCCGGCCAGCAGGAGGGGAGGGGCCCACACAGCTCGCCCCTGGGGGCTCAAGGCCGGAGGGCGTGAGTTCCTGATTCTTTCTGGAGCCCCGGTGTGGGGGTCACGGTGAGGGGGTCACGGTGAGGGGCGAGTGTGTGTGTGTGAGTGTGTGTGACCACAGAGCTGGAGCTGGGAAGCAGGGCTGGCCGCCGTGTCGCA